ACTAATGGGAAGAAATCTTAGACTTCTGTTTTCTGATTGTCACCATATACATACTAAATATATGCGTTTTGAGTAGTTATGATGACAAGACAAAGTTTATCTAGTTTATAAGGAAATTGCAACAAATATTACGTGATTCGACTACGGTTGTTTCCAACTATTAAGTTATATAAATTTCCTATTTTTGTTTTTGTGTTTATGTACAAGCCAGTTGTAAGTTGCCGATAAAGGTTTTAAAGAAGATCTAGTATCTTTATGATGTGATTCAGTATGTCTTTTGTACTCGCTATTGAATGCTGTATATATATAAATCTTGCAGCCCAATTTTCGACTCGCAAATTATTAGTCTCGTGCTCTTTGTATTAGGGCGTCTCAGTCTTCCTTCGGTTAATTATGTCTGACGTATCTTTGCTTTAAGCAGTTGTAGTTCTACTAAAACCAAGGATAGGTTTTCGTATAGGTACAAGAAAATGCTGGCATCAGTTCATATTCGAAATTTAGTGTCCTTTTAATCGAAAGTTCTAATTATTGCTTGAATCTAGAATTCCACAGATTGAATTGTTAGGATTTATGTTGACCTTAGTACTTGACATTTATATATTCTGTAAAAAGTGCATTGCATCCAATTCATGTTTGGGTCAGATAAAAAAGTTATAAAAACGCAACTTTTCAGCTACGAATCTGCTCTTTCTTCACGAGAATCGGATGGGGTAGATAAGGAATTGCAGACATTCATACAAACGATACAACAAAGAGCGGAGTTTCAGAATCATGTCAATCATCTGACTTCTGTGTGTTGGGATAAGTGTGCTGTTGGATACCCGTCTTCGAAAATGGATGCGAAAAAAGCAAATTGTATCGAAAACTGTACAGAGCGTTACTTGGACGTTTCAATGCTTCTTCGTAGTAGGTTTCAATCTATGTTGGCGAATTTGCAACAGTAACATGCTTTAACAAGTGAAATACTTTGCTTGTGATCATATTTGGACTCATGTACATAGTGTAGTAAACGTCTTTATTTTCTTCTAACCAGAGACCTTGTTTGTGTACTTAATTGCACTGGTCATGCAGGCATTTGTTCGTATGTTTAATTGTAAAATCTAGTTATTAACTCATGTTTTACTTTTCTATATAAACGGAAGTTTATCTGGTAAAAATATTCCCGTTTTTGTACTTCAGGTGGTAAATACCCTAACGCGGTATCACATTCAAAAATTAGTGAACAAAGGATGATTTTATCTTCAACACGGTGATTCCATTAAGCTTGTAGGTGTTAAATTAAGAGGATCTACCTGAGGTGCTTAGATACACTCGTACAACCTGAAACAAGAAAATATTGGGTCTTATTTAATTCGTTTCTAGTCTTCTATACAAGCTGATAAAAAACACCAGGGAGACCTCAACTAGACACTTAAATACCGGCAGATAATGGTTTACAACAGATTTACTACTGTTGCCTAGATCTATACACGGCATAAACGTTGTTCTATTTTTTAAATAGATTTTCAGCCAGATACTGGCAAACTGCAAAAATCCTTCAATGTATTAAGATCGCGCTTAACATCCGTAGGATGGTAATATTTAAAGGCAATATATTTACCTGTAGATATGCAAAGTCTGCTATATATTGCGAGTAGTTTGTTTTTATAAAAAGGAAGTAAATGCTTAGCGATAAATAACTCAGGAAAGCTTGAAAATTTTAAATAAATGAGTACATGGAGCGCTGGTTTGGTAGTCAAGGCATTTTACTGAGTTCCTAAGTCACAGCTCTGTTCTACCTTCTTTGGTTTGGGCAACTGGTAAGTATCATAACTGATGAACAAGTTAATTATATTTAGTTTCTAGATATCAATCGACATGTCTACCACCATATGAAAGCAGATAAACTATTACCGTTTAGTATTAGACATAAAATCAGTTATAGAAACTCAACGATATTACAAGTATAGACATTTTTTTACATGTATATTGATTACAAGTAGTGTTCTCTTGAAATAAAGTGAGTTATGTACACCGATATAAAAGTAAGGGTGACTTATTGTCTCAGAATTGTGACTGCGCAGATTTCTCTTCGCATCCAAATCGTTTCGAATTTTTGGTCAGTTTGTCATGTTCTCTCAGTAAGCAGAGCTATAAAAAACGAGGTAATAGCACAACATGAACGTGTTGCAAAAATGTTAGAGATGTGATAGGACACCAGGATCGTTTGTCAAATTTATGGAAACTGTTCAGTAGTTACATTTCAAATTATAAATTCAAATAATTCTTAAGAAACCTGCAGATTAAATTACTGGTAGCAGGTATCTAGGACTACTGTGAGAATCCAGATAAGGGTACTTAGTCTCTAGGAAATTAGCGATCCAGCGCAATCTCCTTCTTGCTAGTGAGGGACATGACAACTATATGATTATTTTTCTCTTGGGTATCGGCGAACTTGAGTCATTATAATGATGAACTTCTAAAAAAACAGTAGGTCTAAGGATAGATCATATGGATTTATTTTGGCCTCACAATAACTGGAAGGCTGTTTCGTACAACGCTGCACGACAGTACGCAAGATCCCGCTACCGACTGAACTCAAAACCGAGGTTTGGGTCTATCTACTCGAGTTGTAGATCACAGTCGAGATTTAGTAGTACACACTTCCAACTTTTGTCAGTTTCCTGATGTCAGCCCTTGTAAAAAATATTCTGATTGCAGAAAATCTACACACCATCCATCTTAATGGACGGATTGTTATTCAGAATGGTGCTCTTCAGGTTTTGCTAAATTACCTTTCACTGTAAATCAATAATTGATTGGGATTATTACATATAATGGACTTACATTGATGTGCGTTAGCTGAAGGTTGTGTAGTCATATCTATCCACCTAAAATCAAAATTAATATGAAAATGTTGAAAAGTCAGTTAGTCTTGTGTAACTTAGAATCCAGCATGTATGTCCATTGCTTTGAGTTACCATCATCACAGCAACACAGCGGGATAAAATTATCAAGACAAATCCCGAAGAAGTAGAAAAATTAGGTATATAAAAAGATGGGGAAAGTATAAGGGGATCTCTGAACTCAGGTTCTGTAACAAGACAAAGAGTGAATACAACTGTACCATCACGAAAGGTTTGGAGGCATCATCCAAAGTCTAGCCATTGTTTACGATATCCGAATCAGGTAGTTTACAACTTTCGACATAATGGTTTATATTCGTGTCGGCGGATTACCGGGGTTTTAGTAGGAGGATGTGGAGCTAAGCTATATCAGGTGTAAAGAAGGTACCCACCGAAGGTAATGGGAGATGGTCGCGCAAAATCATGAATTGGTTGAAGTCATGCTATAACACCACTGGATCCGGGCTCAGTGAGCTGAAGGTCCTGGGTTCGGTTCCCGGTTGTGGGGTCCTACATACCCACTGCTCAGGAGTCGCATGCTTGAACGAAACGGCCGTCCAGGGCTTCAGTGGTGATCTAACTTAGATGGGTTCGTGATTTCAGTGAAGTCCAGAAATCTTCACGACCCTTTACTGACAAGTTAAAAAGATTGTATTTGAGTAGTCAATATCTTTACACAGTCTGTCTAGATTTACACTAAAGACTAGAGAACTGATTTCATAAAAGAAACGTATTGACTGACTTGTTTCTCAATGGTGATAAATCTTACATTATAGTAGTCTTTAGGTCTGTTTTCATGCACGTTTGAAGCTATCATACTAAAAAGTCAGACTTATTCGATACAAGGAACAAAGTTAAAAATTGTAGTATTCTGCTGTGTAGTACAAACTACTGGTCATACAAAAGTTAATACTTCGAACAACCTGTAGCTCTGGTTAACCGCATCTACGAGATAAAATACGCTGCAAACAAACTTAGCATGTCTCTTCAATCTGTTCTTCCATGGTTCACAGCAAAAAGTCGAAAAATTAGAATTTCCAGCATCAGCCTTATCTGGAACATTTTTTTGTAGAGAGAAAGGTATTGCCAAGGATAATTTTAATGCGAAGTAAATGTGGTTATTTTATATGAGGAAATAATTCCAACATAATTAGAATGTGAATATTTTATCTATTTTAGCTAGAGAACGAATTCAAGTTTCTCAGTATCATTAATCCCAATCCTGGTTCTTACTAGTTATGGACGACCATTGCATAGATCATTAAATCCATAAATTTGTCCCGGAAAATAGCATTATTATCTTTGCAAAATGATGCACCTTGTAAATTTTTGTCCTTGTATTGTTTTAAGGATATTTTCGTGAGAAAAATATGATGGGGATAGGACCCAATTACTGATAAGATTTCATTTGTTCAAATATACGTTGGTTGCACATGTTTATACAGTGTAAACTCTTTAAGTCAATGTATCAATCTCTCACTGTACAATTTAACCTGTCCTCAACTTTTGTGAATAGTAATCGGGAAATACCATTAAAACGGTGCAATTACACATTTGCATAGCTTCTCTTATTGGTTTGTTATCGTGGCAGCTGACACCTACCTGTTGACCCTAGTTGGTTCCAACCACTTTTATTGACAAGAGAAATGGCATTTGCAAGTATTGTATTCTAGGAATTCGGCTTTATGCAAAAAAAGATGCCTTGTCACTTTTCATATACTTGTACACTAAAGCTAAAGAAGCTTGGGAACTAAAGAGCAACGAATGTCTTCATTCTCAAGCGAGTTTTCCCACTTGTGATAATAGATGAACGATGGCGCTATATAACAACACTAATGAATTTGAAAATATTAACTGTCAGATTCTGACTCAATGGTTAAATGGTATTGTTTTCAATGACAAGATACTGAATATTCGCAAGTTAAGGCAGTTATCAGATATTATGCAGCTATCAAATGAATTTTTATCGGATGTGTAAGTGAATACTCAATATATTTTATTCTAAACAAAACTCGAAAGATTTTCTAGATCACCACTTACATCATGATCTTTACAATCCTGAATAGGAATTTCTTAAAATACAAACACCTATTATTTCCTGAAGTTTATTAAACACGGAGTTTTTGTGAAGTTAATTTAACTGTTCATCCTTTTAGACTTCATGAAACTGTATAGTACAGAATAACATTGATGAAAAATAGAGCCTATTCCATGAATCTTTATTGTGTTAGAAATAGATTAAAAGCACTTAAAAGTCGATAAGTTCTCGAACGTTTCACCGTCTTATAATGATGAAAGATACTTTCATTATTCATCTGAAAAATGTTATCGACTACAGCTTCAAAAAGTCAGTTTAAAATCATAATACAGCTGACGTTATTTTTAAGACAAATAAAATACTGCCGATTAAACAAAGGATATAAAATGTTTACTACGAAAACATACATGGTGTAATCGTCATAACTTACGTTTGCTCTGTTTTGCGCTTATGCTTCCTTTGTTTGCGAATAACAAATACAATAGTTAAAACCAAAAGAATAAGTCCAAAAATTGATACTAGAATAATACAGAAGAGAACATGATATTTACTATAAATCAGTAGGGTGATCGGTAAAATAAATTGTTTTAAAGCATAGAATTTAAACTCAGTTAACTGAAGTAAACAATAATACATTGCATATCCCCATAGAAAGTGACTGGATTGTGAGAATAACAAATATAGCGGTACTAAATACTAGTTAATTTATTTTATGAGGTACTTCACTAGTATTCTTCGTTACAGTACCTCATAACTGAGATAACAATAACAATGATGTATCCTTTGGAACGAAGATAAGTACTGAATTATTATTGTAGACTATGTGGCAATTCAGTAATGTCTATATACTGGACCCACAAATCCCTGAGAATTGATACTCTATTTAAAAATTTATGTCCCACACAGTGGTTTTCTTAAGTTATGCTAATGATAACAACTGGATACTAGTTGTAGTAGTGTCCTGGTGATTGCAAAACACCCACTTGTAGGATTGCATTCAGAATAATTTACAATAGAAACTAGAAATAGGGTACATGAAACGAAGTTTGAACAAAGATTGATTAGTGTTCAAAATATCATGATATATAGCAGCATATATTACTACCGTACGTAATTATATGAATATACTTTAAATAGGATTTCTCTGTTATACGTAAACTAATAGGAATTCAAAAAAGTCTGAATAATATGAATGTTATTCTGATTCACGATATGGGGGTTTTCTAAATCTTAAAGTATGAGTAAGTTGATACAGCTATATCTTGAAATGTTACGTGAATGTTTAACAGATTCATTTATCAATGAGCTGAATAAGTCATTATGTAACCATCAAACGAATGATATATATATATATATACGGTACATTACGGTCTTATTGTAACGAAGTTAGTATTTCAATTCTAGTTTCCTGGACTGAATTATCGTTTATTACAACACAAACTTATCATATCAGGAGTTGAAATCTAATTTGTACTGTCCTTTTTACTATCAGTTGTAGCTTTTTTATCCAAATAAAGAAGGTATAAAACAAACAGACAGAATTATTGTATGTCAGAATACTATGTTTAATCATTTATTTTAATTTCAATCCGTTACTTACTAGTTATAATAATTGCAAATAATGGAATAGGGATACCGTTGATTCTTCCAGTACCTATGTTGAATGGGAAAAATTCAAAAATTCGTCTAATCACTAACTTTTCTTATAGTCATATTGTGGATCTTAAATCTCTCAATATAATCTATTAGCCACTAATCAAGGGAAAGATTATGTATTAATTTTAAGTAGGATTTCTATTCATTTGACCTTGAATTGATTCAATGTAAACTTCTACCCAACATAACAATTTTTATTAACTGATACATTATAATTTTTCGTTCACTTTAGCTTTATTAAGTATAATATTCAATGGTATTTCGCGTTCAAGTAATGGTTGTTCAGCTTGATAATTTCTATGATAAATAACCACCAAGTTGGATCAGTATAAACTTGGTTTTGATTTAAATCTTCTGGAGTCTTTACCAAAACAAATCTTCCTTACGAGACGTTTTTCTCTTCCATCGCGCAGGGAATTATTTATGGAACTCGTTTCGAATTGGAAGAATATCCGATAAAGCTACACACCTAGCCAAATCCTACTAAGCTGAGTAGTTTCCAATTCTGTGAGTGAAATACAGAAAGAAATGATCGATCTTGGACATAAACGTGAAATGTTAATAGACTACACAATTACGATCAGATTTACATAATTTAAGAGCTGTATACATTGTTTTTTAATGGATCTGGATCAGTGGCAATCATTATACCAATTAGTTAAGGGGTAAGAAGGTTGAAGTCCGATCAAAATGAAGGGATATTTATCTGAACGGCTTGAAAAATATCATTTGCTCATTAACATTCATTCAACACCAAATAATATATACCAAGGTATTCACGGCAATGAATAATTAACGAACTTCAATTAACAAAGATCAACTTCAACATTTCGTTAAAGTTAATCTGAATATTAGAAGAATATATTTATTAGCAGTCGAACAATTTTTCTCCACGAGTACACAGTTTAACATTTAAAACATTCCACTAGTTGATGACATAATCTTTAAGTCAGAAGTGATGTGAGAGTCATAAATGCGTAAAGTAGCACTTGATCAATTCAGTTGGCGAATTCTTAATATTTTCCACTCATAATCAATAATGTGGGTACCTTTTTGATGAGGACCCATCGAAATTAATCTTTAAATATTCATAGAATAACTTGATTCGAACATATTTTTATTTTACAAACTGACTATAATCCATCCAACACTTAAAAATACTGATTAGAATTATGGGTTTTTTTCATAACATCATTACGAATTTTATTAAGTAAACTATACTAGTAAAAAGATGAGAGAAATATTCACTACTATACTACACTTACACAAATAACCATTTTCATCGGATCCATCATGACAATTTGCAATTGTGTCACATGTCAGAGAATCGGGTATGCAATTAGTAGCCGCATCCCAACAACGAAATGTATCTGATGGACAGTTATATGATGGTCCTAAAACTGTTAATTCATGTCAATTATAAGAAGTTAACGAAGCGATTAATAATAAAATTTATATAACAATAACTGATAAGTAGTAAATTATCCTGTGAGATGAACTTCCTGCTAATGTAAAAAGTCAATGGAAAAATGTATTTAATTATGTAACTTTTTGTCAGTGGGACAAGTTATATGATGTCATTATAGAGACAACTGAATGCACTGCTTTTAATTTTATACACGGGACTGGCAGTTCGTATTGGTCGAATAGAAGCAACTAATTTCATCCGTTTTTGTGGATATACTTTTGAAAAAAAACCCATCATGATTAATATATAAGTTAGCAATTTACCTTTTATGACAAAAACATTTGGTTGTATGAAAATATACTAGATTTCAGACTGAAATCATTACACGGCTACCATACTACTTGAATGCAATAATACGTCAGGCATTATTCAAGCAATTATTAAGTTATAGTTTTATTCTGATCAAAAAGAGAAAATATATGTGGATTTATTAAACTTCTATTCAGTATTTATCAGTATAGGATTGTGGAGATGGAGTTTTAATTGAGATTATGAATCCATCAACGTTAAACCACCAATTCAAGATATTGAGCAACCATCTTTCATTGTCTTCGGTGGGTAACTACCTCACAGTCGACATTGTTGAACTTTATACTCTAGTTAAGGTCTAAAAACTTGAGACAAATAAAACGTAACTGAAAACGAATTTTCAACAAGATTCATTTTTCCGGGTGAAGGCTGACAAGTTTCGTACGGAATGGGGTGCTGGGGAGTGAAATTTATAAATTTCTACCCTTTCTATTTTTTCGAAATCTACTCATATGATTGGTTCGATCTAACTTATTATGTGATCCAGACCAATTATGTAGTCTTTATTTCCCTAATATCCCTCCTTTTTTTGATCGGTTAAGTTCTATGGATAATGCCTCACTTTCATTGGATGATTCTAATCGAAATAAACAAATACGCCAGTAAATTATTATAACTAAGAATTTAGGAAATCAATTGGATGTCGACATAATCGTTTTGCTTATTATCAAAGCAATAGTACATATAATGAAATCACATAGACGCAAGTAGTGATAGTAAATAGCATGAAAGTGCGTTGTAATGTCACTTAAAATGAACTAGAGATATAAACATTGTTTACCAGTACAAAGAGTTCATTTGATCCATTATGTTTAATAGTATTACTCTACTCAAAAGCAACATTTGAATGTGCTTGTACAAACGATTACTTCAAATACAATTTTTTATAACCATTATCAACTAATATCAAAGAATATATTGTCATATGGTTAAAATATCTTAATTTTCAAAACTTGAACTTTTATGCACTAATAACAGAAAGGTTTTAGGATTTGACAGACCTACTAAGGAGTATTATTAAACTGTGAATGAAAGACTGATAATAATTACTAGAATTAAATAAAAAAGATTGCAAGAAATAATACTGTATGTTGTGACTTTTGGTCCGGCCTCTTATCACATGATTAGTCCACCAATCAAAATACGGCTTATACAATCTTAGCACTGTGCCAAACCAATGACGTTCGACCGGTATGGGCAGCCCAGCGTCTTTATTGGTCCTATGTCCGCCTAGCCCGTCCACTTCAGTCCAGAACACCAATACCAGCTTCCGCTATGCGAATCGAATCATTTATTTCAGACATACTGGGTTTATATATCAACCAAACAGACCGCAACGCACCATAAAATAGGAAATAACATTCATACACAATAAAGCCAAAACATGGCTGTGAACGTGGGAGGCAGTAGTCAATAAACTGAACATAGCTTAAGAACAGTAAATCGTACAATAATAAATCACAGGTCAAAATAAAGCTTATAATAAGAGGAATATAAATATACATAATCTAATTACTGAGTAGTTATACCATAAGAATATATAAATAATATTAGTCCATTAATATGTCTCAGAAGTTATTCGTGGTTTAATCTTCGCTCGGATATAACACTGTAGAACAAATATTTCAATAAAAAATAGTAATTTTCATTATCGCCAGTCATGCAGACACTGGACTCAGTTTTTTCAGTTATGTGTAGTTACTTCTAGATTCTCCCGCTAAGAAGAAATTTAAATATTACTTAAATATCAACTGAGTCACCAGAAGTATAAATGAGATAGAAATAGGGGAGATCTAAAACTACTCAATTGTCAACTGTTGCACAGATAAAATATGCATAATGCCAAAATGGTGTAGTACAAGTTTTCAATGGAGAATATACTTCATGCAAACGAATCTTGCGAAATTGGGAAGTTCATTCTAAATAAGTACAATTTTATAATGATCATAGATACTAGTTTGCCTGAAAACAAATTAACCCAATCAACAATAGGTGAAAACTACCCCTTTTTAAGAGAGTTATCAATGAGACGTTCTTTACCTACACCATCTAAGCTAAGAACAATTAAATGATTCGAGCAAAACTAAAGGTCCTGGGTTCGAATACCGCACGCATGTTTGTGGATTCATACTGCTGAGGAGTCCCTTACTAAGACAAAACGGCCATCTAGTGCTTCTAGATTTTCAGTGGTTACCTAGCATTGATCGGTTCATGAATTCAATGAAACAATAGAAAGAATGTAGACGTTTCAGCAAAGGAAATGTTCTTTCAGACAATGGCATTTTTCAAACTGTACAAACGTAATTACACATAATTTTATCATGTGTAGTCTATAATAAAATATAATATTTACTTGTAGGGTGTTATAAATTTAATTACAAATTTAATGTACAGTTCTCATTTCGTTATAACGCTGATTGAATCATGTAAGTGTAAATTATTCATCTAATGTTGCAGTAGAATGATTCATTAGTATGTGCGTACTATTGTACGCACGATGATTTATGAAATTTACGAAATAAGACTTATTAATATGATAAAAAGTATCTGGAAGTTCATATGCTTCTCATTAAAAAGTTCATGTTTTGGTGATCAGAATATTTAAAAAATTTATCCAAGTCAGATGATCCACGTTTTTTTATAACAACCAGACGAAATGAGTCATAGTAGCGACCTATGAAATAAGACGTTTTTCAATAGTTGTTTTTCTGTTAAAAATTGCTAAAAGTTAAATAAATTTTGTTTAGGATTTTTGTGTTGAAAATCGATAATAAAATAGTGATGTGCAACTAGTTTAAAAATAATTTTAATGAATATTTTGTTATATCCGGACGAGAATAAACGAATGGCAACCGTTAGGAATTATTTATGGACTAATATTATACATATTTTCTTATTGTATAACCTATTAAGTAACTATATTATGTCTATAATTATATTCATTTTATCATAAGCTTTTATTTGACATATTAGTTAATGTTATACGATTTACTGTTCTCAAGTTCTTTTCAATCTATTAGTCACAGTTTCTCACAATCACAGCCACTTTTTGTTCTTGTACAAATGTTATTTTCTATTTTATGGTGTGCTGTGGTCTGATTTACTTGTATATAAACCAAATATGCTTGAAATATATGTGGTTCGATGGAACGCAGGCTGATATTTGTGTTCTAAACTGGGTTAAACGAAAAGCTACTATCTCAAGGACCAATAAGAACTCAGAGGTGACTCTCGGCTGCTCCTGCTGACTTATGCGTCATTGGTCCGGTCAGTAGGTTGGTGACCCTAATGAGCAATCGTATCGCGTGATATATTAACAGGGCTATACCAGTACACAGATCTTAGTTATGCAACTACAAAGATTCATAAATCAAAGTGTGCTGTGACCTTGCATTTTATGTTGCTTATTCAAATGATAAAAATGATTATGATCTAGTTATCTGACTTCCTGATATGCTGATCAAAAGTGTGAGAAAAAATTGAAATAGCCTATTGATAGTGCGGTGAATACAGCAATGGAGTTAGTAGATTTGTTGATAGTGGCTTAAAAAAGACAGGACTATGTGGTTTACATTTATTTGCTGAAAGAGACTAATAATTTTAAACATACAAGGTTGATGACTCGTCTTTAAAAGTCAAACTTCCTTATTAAAAAAACCCCAGAAATTACAGAAACTTTTTCATTTTTTTACTATTTATTTGATAATCGAATATTCCCATAATATTATGTGGTAAACATTAAATGTAGAACAGTGTTTAACATTGAAGTTATAGATAGATGATCTGTTTTATTTAGGAATCAACAGCTAAATAAATATGTACCCCAAATTCATGGTTCCAATGAGTCTCCAACCCTGTATCGAAAATAACAAAACACGGGGCGGTTATCAAAATTCCATTGCTAACTACTATCCAAAATCTAACCGAGATGTGAATGAAGGTAACGTGAGGGTATTTATCAAAATGTATAAGTCCTGAAACAAACTGAGTAATATGGTCCTGATTATTGACAACCCGAAAATCAAGTCCATGGAACTGATAACCTCTTAAAAGGGTTCAATATTTACTATTTACTTGAAAAAATCAGAAGCTTGATTCCCTGATTCGAATCGCAAGAGAAGTACCTTGTCTGAAATAAAACAAGTTCAGTTCTTTTAAATAAAAGTATGTGGTTAGCGAAATAACCGTAAATCGGATTACGCAACTTTTGGTTTGTATATAAGTTAAATATTCAAACGTCTTCGTAAAGATGTGATGATGATGTCCAGGTTGGTATTAAAGCGTCGGTAAAAAAAAACTTTTCCACAAATAACAATCTATATAATTTTTTTCTTATTTGTTGTCCTTTCAAGCTTACTGGAAAGTGCATATACTTTCATACTGATAAACGTGACAAATAACAATTAAACTTTAACTTATCCTATAACTTCATCAGTTCAATAATCACGTTGTAGCACACTCATTTTATATTTACGATTTGTTTTGATAAATCTAAAAACATGTTTATTTTCTAAACATGAAAGAGTTTGATTATTTTAACCATTTCACAAATAAAATACAGAAAGATGCAATTAATTATTTATTGGATAAAGCTAAGTGGATAAATTTACCATCAGTCTTCTAAATTGTGAGCTTAAAATTTCTTTCTACTTTTCATTCTGAGAATTCATTCTCGATTAGTATTCTCAATAATAATTTTTAATACAATCGACACTACAAATGCTTCTGCTACTTTCATATTCATTTTAATGGTTTTATCTTGTTGTGATTACATGACGTAGCGAATTGAACATGATTTACATGCCTTCCGTGTTTTAAGTTACTTATGACTGACTGAGTGTAGAAAATCAATGATGGGGTATAAGGTATATGCGTAGTATCGAGCTGCATTAGAAGAGAGTTTTTACCTATTTATACTTAGAAGATAAAGAATGAAATGCCTAGATAAGCTATTTTAGAATTAGTCGAAGCTATCTTTCTAATTAATGGTCGATTCAAAAACTATTATGTAAATAGATAACGAAATAGTTTAAATTACCGTATGATGATATTACAAATTGATAGGCAACATCTGATGCAGCAGAATTAGCTGGTCAAATAAAATTTGTATTTTTAGATTTGATGATGATGTATGCACGACTTTATCTAGCATAGATGGATAATTCGTACAGTTGGCTTGAAACTAAATACACACAAACACACAGAAAAAGAAGGGAACGTATTTAGTCAAGACGCTGCCAAAAAGATATTCAATATTAGATAAGTAATCTAGGCTATAGATATTATGATTACATCTTGAGTTTGGGTGGCCATGGGAAATAAGTATTTTTCATCTTCTTTGAAATTCGTCGGTTTTCTGTACCTTCGCCTCAGTGTTAATATTCACATTAAAGCTAGAGTTCAGCACCCATTGCTTCCAAATCCTACAAATTACCTGATAAAGCAAGATCAGTTACTTCTCTGTATATGTACTTCTTCAGTTTTACGTATTCATACGGCTCTTTGATGTTGCAGTATAGTTATTACTTTGAATCGCAATATAGGATTCGTATTAATTCTTCGAACTCAAAACAAATTTTTCTATGTATTTAGATCTATTCGTCAGATCAACACCAGAACTTTTATCAAGTTTGAACAACACTAAGCTATCGGTATTTAGTATTTTTAGAGTGGAGTTACAGAGTGCTTATTCACAGATTATGGATTGAAGGGATAGTCTTATGTTCAACAGATTAACTAAGTGGACCAGTTAAGACTTGAATCATAAATTATTGTTGTGTGAGCTCTGAATAAGATGGAATGTAGACTGTTTTTCTATGGTATCTTTACTGTAGAATTCGCAAGGGTAAGATGTAGAATCAAAGCGGAAGATTTCATACTTATTTTTATTCGGTCTTATAATAGCTTAATTAAATATGCTTCTATATACTGTCAGAAAATGTTTCATATAGATCTATGCGTTGCTTTTGTTGTACTTGATTATAAATCTAGTAGAAAATAGACATATTTTCTTGAGGATAAAACTCTAAGGTCCTCAGTTGGATTATTGAATCGACTGGAATTTAGTTAAAGGGTAGATATCACTACATAATTTGTAATGAAACTTGGAAATCCAGATTACATTTGTGAAACAAATGAGCGTTTTTGGCAAAACTTCCTTAATCAATTATCTGTCTTTTAAGCAAACATCAGAAATACAATATATTAGGGTATGTTTTGAAATGAAATTACCCTGAAACATGACCAATAAACAAAAACATAAGACCTGTAAAACTATTTTTGCTACCAGAATAAACACTTACAATTAACTTAGTATCATCAGGGACTTTCATTGGTATAATCATATTTACATCACTATTATCAATTAGTTCATCTCTAACAGATGTGAATTCTTTGATCTGTATAACTGGACACGTTCCAAATTGGCTAGGTAATACTAATTTCGTAGGATAAATACTCAAATACTGATTTTGTTCTGACGGTTGGAAATAACACAGAGTTCTGCCGATTGCACGTGTATGTGAAACCACTGCACCAAAGATAATGAATGGCTTTTCTGGCAATCCAAAACAATCTTGTGTGTCAACTGGTTAGAAAAAAAGACAAAATAACTTAACATAAAGTAAATTTTTAAAAGCACTACTCTTGGAATTTATGGTAAACGTTGAACAGTTTTAGGGTTCTTTATTTGACTTTGTATATATTCTACGGAAATAAATTCCATCTAATAAATGAGCAGCAGTGATGTGAATTTTCGAGATAAGTTACTTCATCAAGATCCAACGGAAAATCATAATTTTGTTCGATTCCATAATATTTACAAAAATATGATTGTACGTACAAAATTAAAAATATTTCTTCATAATTACTAGAAGTGTGGTTAAAAATTCTTCAAACAACTTGATAGTGTCAACTCACAAACAATAAGTCATAAATGAATCACATTTCTGTGAAGCTTTTGGCGAGAAAATTCTTAACCGATACTTAAATACGGAGCTCATATGCACTACGCACATTAATTACTGATTTGTACAACATAGGTGTGGTAAATTTAAATTTAAACCTTGAATTCTTGGGCCAGTACACAGCGGAACTGTTACATATAAACGTTATCGATAGAAAATTCTAGGTCCATCAGTGAGATGTAGAAGTTACAGGCATCAAATCAACCACATATCTTCACTAAAAATTGTTTCGCTTAATAAGTAACTAACTGACTTGTATCAAGTAAGGTAATTTATGAACCACTGATAATGAATGAACATTGCCATATGGTGGAAGTTGACTACATCAACATATTTGTTAACATGATTTGGCCATTCATATTAATTAAGACAAGTAAACACCATACTTGATGCTTTTTGTAAAGCAAATTAAACGATCGGACAAGTTATCATGTGATTTTGAATAACTGGTCAATCTCATACTTAAATTAATTTATAATAGCAAACATATTTCTCTCATGAAATCAGACATATTAAAAACTTTTGGTGTATAACTGTACGTTTTATATTTCATTACAGGAAAATAGATTGATGTGCTTGATCACTATGAATCTTATGTTAGCAACGGCGCTGTAGTTTAGCGTCCTCTTAGAAACTTATACGAAACCAAATAACGATGAAAGCTGTAAAACCTTAAATAATCAGCGATAGCGCATTACGGTGTTTGTTGATGTATTCACAGAATAATGATGATTTGGTCTAAACTAATATCTTGAACTAAGGTTTCTCAAAGCGAAACTCCGTTTCATAAACTAACAGCTTCCTAAATTCGAAACTGCAAACCTTATCTAATTTGTAGTGTATGAATCTCCCATTACTTCTAAAAATGAAGCTCCGAGAAAAAAGGACTCCAAGATAATAAGTATAGGCATAATCCTTAATTTGGTTTGGTGAAATGTTTTGAATCCTCAGCTAGAACTCATTCCCAGTAGGCAGATAAAACTAGAAACTCCCTTGCTAGGAGTATTAAATATTTTGCAATACTTTACGTTTATGATATATACATAATTTGTATAGGTTCTGCACAATGACTATCTGTCAGATCAGCAAATGCATCTTGATCTATCACTTTGCAGAACAGATAGTTTTTTCAGTTAAATGAATAAAATATCTACTCATCACTTTGTTACCTCTTTTAGTAAAGATACATTTAGAGTTTCTTCTAAAGTAATCAGTAGGCATAACATAAAACTTACTTTTGATCGTCTTCGACCTCACAGAATAAATCCACAGCAGAAAGGCATATATATAAGTAGACAGAAAGCTGTTCATTATGATAAGTCACGCATATATTCGAATTATATGGCGAGATATCAATAATTAACGGAAATCATAGACTAAAAACCAATAAACACGAAGCAAAATGATTTACAGCACAATTTAGCGAAAGAAAGAAGACCAGCTGAAGCGGTAATTAATGGTTTCGAAATAAACAAACAATGGTTCAAGTGGCTTTCAATACTCATTAGCAAACATTCTGATTTACGAATTTGAACGGACCAGAGAAGTCATAAATCAGCATTCAGCATACTTGTGAATAGTCAAAGAAATATTTTCCTTGTACCAATCTACCGTGTTCAACTTTTCTGATCATATAAATAGCAATAACTAGACGATTTTTACACGGTGCCTTTCGTGTTTCTCAGCTTTCTTATATAGAATTTCCTGGTTCTAGTAAGTCAACCATAATTACACAAACACAAAAAAGAGTTTTATTACACTGGTTTATGATAACTAACTGACAAAAGTAATCAGATTAAAATGCATAATGTCAACCGGCGTCCAATTTGAGAAATACAGTGCAGTATTTCATTTACGAATACGAATTCCTGAACCAGTATTTTTCTTTAAAGGTGTACAAAGCACAGTAGGGAATAAGCTGTGACAAGCGGTTCTTGGATCAAATAAATTTATTGGCAATGCATGTTTAAGTCTACTCTGTGCTAAAAGTAAAGAATTTTCGAGTGAAGTTATAAATCCATTTTTTTGAATCGTCACACAGTGATGTGTAGTCTGCGAGCGATTTTTCAATAAAGTTCATGAAGCGTACCCAAAGAACATGTGGAAGATTATCACAGTAAACTGTTAATGAGAATGATATCATAACTAACTCTCTGATACTCTTAAAAAACAACTTTCACTAGTATTTCAGATGGTTGATAATAGTATATATTTGGATTGCAGTATTTCGATTGATTCAAAATTAGGCTTCGAAAAAATATAAACCTTAAAGCAACCATAAGTCCGGGATCATTAAGCTTTTAGTCCAGCTTTGGACTTTGGTACGACATTTTACGCCATAAAACTTCTCGTCTTATGAAATGGTACTTGCACTTAGGTAGACTGTCTTTAGTATCTGTTAGTTTGTTTAACCACAAAATATGTCCGTTCTATGAATAAATACATTTGTCCAAGTACCGCCATACAATTCCATGTTTATCAAAAGGTAAGAACAAAATTCAGAACTAAGAGTTTGGTTAAAGTGATTACCAACACGATAAGATTTTTTGCATCTCAATGACAAATATATGCTCAAGTATTTATACATAGATGCACTTTTTGTACGTATTGCGACTACTGAGAAAGGAATGCTGGGAAAGAACGTGCAAAACTAGAAAGTGATTTTCAATCTACTGATTAGAGCGTCACTCTACAACAAACGAGGTAACAGGAAAATGAAATGCATATGACAAAAAATCAGACTCTGGTCTCCGATCTAATACGAAATAGCAGATTGAGAGAAAGGAAGTAATGTGCAAAACCGGAGCAGACAATCGTTGATTCAGCGTAATTTTGATTACGTTATTCACGGATTTTCGACGTTAACATGTGTTAACATGTTTCATACATTTCAAGGATGGAAATTATTCAGGTAATGAATACTCTCTTTGTGTAAATTTTTCAATGAAACTCAATTGACCTTTTATTATCAATTTTGAGTTAGAACAAATTAATACTTATTTTAAAGTCTTAACTTATTAAACTTAAGCATATGAGCTTATAAGGCATATATTAACATCCTAATTGCTTTCGTCGAAAATATTCTAAGTATAGTAATACAAAATATTTGAAGAAATGAGGTGAAGTAAATGAATATATAAAAAACAACTGGCACAGGAAATGATGTCTTCGGAAAACTCAAATCAAGAGACGCTCTGTGTACAAGGTCACGAATCGTGTACTACCATACGCTCTAGCTAAACTGTGAAAAATCTAACCTTGATTGGCCAAATTAAAAAACAATTTTCCCTTTGGACGCCAAGTCTGCGGGTTGTTGACTATAGAAACGTTATTGTTTTGTTATGTTTCCTGCTAAACTAGGAGGTTAAAAATGACTTGTTAATGTTAGTAGATTCAGTAAAATAAAAACAATATAATTCTCTTTCAGTGACCAGAGAACTAGAAATTCTTTGGGCTTACTTCTGAAAGATTCGGTTGGAGATGCTTTCATCGATCTCATCAGTATGAATTCCCATAACTTACTGAAGAAATATGAATGTTTGAAAACGTTTCGTTCTGAGTGCACTTTATTGACGTAACGTACCACAACTTTATCAAGGTGCTGAGGATTACGGACGACTCGATACATCAAAGCCATATTCTTCCAACAATTATTTTGCAATGGTTGCAAACTTGCGTATTGTAGGAAAAAGTATAAGGGCTTTATTCTTAGCCTAAGCGCCTTACGATTTGTTCTCATTTAAACATCTTTCGAAAAACCAGCATTCTTATTAAAGTAAGAAAAATTGATACAATTTTGAACCTTCAGGTTAGATATTAGCAAACATTGAGAACGGTGTTGAAGAAATCTGTAGTCAGGCTACCCAGTATTCAAGAAAGAGACCCACGGATAAATTAACTTTGTAAGCTTCCAGTTGGTAACAGAACGAGAAACCTCCGGCACTATATAATATACTTTCGACGGTGAAGTGTATAATGCACTGGGATTCCCAATTCGATCCTTTCCACAAATATAACTTGTCGATCACTTCTCAACTTTCAACCATAACAAAAGTCCCAAATCCATATGGATGCCGACTTAGTGGTTTGGAGGTTCAGTATTCGCGCGCGAGACTGAAGGCCTCAGGTTCGAATCCTGCGAGCGGGATCGTGGACGAGTCCCACAATAGAGTAAAACGGCCTACCAGTGACCCCATGTTTGGAATGATTGTTTTACGTCGATCGGTTCCTGATCTGAATCAAAAACTTGATAATCTCCACAATACTATGCTGATAAATGTATGAACAGTCAGTAGAATGTGTGTTGTCCCTGGAAATATTCTGTACGACGTTAGACACACTGTGTTTCTCTAGTAACAATAATTAGTCACAAAATATGTCGATATCTGGGAATCAATACTATACATCATTGACATTTTATCGTTTACAAAACCTGTAGACATTATATTTTTGTTTGTTCGCTAGCAAATTCTGTTCAGTAAATCAAGATATCAGTTAAGTAGGGTCTGCATTTTTAGATCTAACGAACATCAGTGTTAAAATAAAGCTCATAATAAGAGGGACATGAATATGAACAGTTTAGTTGTTTACCAATTATACTGTAAAAATATACGCACATTATTGGTCCATGAATGGATCCCAAAAGTTACCAATCATTATGCTTATGGGGACCTAACAGGCAACAACTTCATGATCACTGCCTGGAAATTGAAGTTATGTAGATACTGTATATGTAGATTCATAGTGTGGGAAAATTAAGTCCCTTTGGTCCGCTTATCTAGTGGCTTTATTGAATATCGGTCTACATCCGTTTCTAGTTTCTAGGGATAACGAGTTTGCATAAATTAACAACTAACCTGAAGAGATAAGTTAATAGGCCAGTAGTGAGGTTAATAGTTGGTCCCTCATAATTTATACAGACAGAATCCGCAATAACTGACAATACGATGAGCGAAGTTCTTATTCATATTGGCGAGTAATATCTAAATAATACTTACTAATGATGTCGCTACTGTATATAAAAAGTGGATTGCTAATAGTATTGTGAACATTGTAATTCAATTTTTCTCAGATTTCATATTACCAATTGAAGTTTCTTTGGTAATACCAAACTACTAGGCGAAGTTTTAGGAGGATTAAAAGATGAAGCGCATTGTCTACAACCAGTAAAACACTTATGGGTACATTCTGTTAGATGCAATTTCGTTTACTTATCGAATTTGATGTCAATAACGAATTTTGATCGTTTGTTTAACAATTGATTTGTTGTTTTTTAAAATACGGTTAAGCTAAGGTCTTCATACGTTTTCTGACATGCCATTTATGGCTTTTGTCAACTAATTGAAAGGCTCAAGTCTTTCTAACAATAAAGTCTATAGCGGCGAACAAATGAGCGAATTTCTGAATACGGAATATTGTATAAAGAAGCAGTTTACGAGTGACGATAATTGTGTTTTACATTGTTCATATATATTATATATATCATGTTATTCATTATATATTATTCTTCTAGTGGATTATTTAAATGCAAATATAATAACTACACCAAGTCTTTTTTTACTATAAACCTTGTTAGTATGTATAATTATAGTTTAGTTCCGTACTAATACTACTCTGATAATAGACCTAATCTGAAAACGGTGAATTTGTCATGTAATTGCCCAATCTGTAAGACCTTACGTTGAAGCCGCATCGCTATCTTCACTGACACCTCTTATCATGGCAATTAACAGTGATACTTAGTTCTTTTGAACAGCACATTTGGGATGGGTATAGAAAAATATATTTAATACGAATGGTAGTACGATACATATAATGACCACGTCTGCAATTTTGGATTATGCCATCTGATTGAATAAATGTCTCCACGTCCATTATTGCCGTCCTTCTTCAAGTGTTACACGTCAAATATACATCTTTTCAGTCATTATATGCTTGGTCTTGAAGACCATATGGTCGAGAAACTATGCTATTACGAGTAACCATCGGAATATACTGTCATAGCGAAGAGAGATATATGCAACTCAATATTTTACTATAACTTATAATCTGGTGCAGTACTATAAGTTTTCGTAACAAAAGTAGTACTTATAAAGCAAACGCTTAGTTGTTTCCAATTTTCACAAACACCAGTTAGGATTATCGTTATATCTCCCCATGAAATTACGAAGACCAAAATAAAAATTCAGCAAAAGTTTATTGATGGATCAGTACTACTGTTACAGGAAGAGCAACATTTAATGCAAAAAAATCAGTTCACAAAAACGATGTATAGTTAAGTTGAAAGTACTACTAAAAAGAACTTCTTACAA